TGCAGCCGGTTCAATCCCCGGCTGCTCCCCGGCCACCGGAGGAGGGTCCCACATGGCGCGCAGACCTCTCCTGCCGCCCGCTGCTCCCCTCAGCAGTGTCCTTCGGTCCTTCTGCCTGCTCTGCTCCCCGCTCTGGCTCTGGTGAATTCTCTCACCCTCCCGCGCTTCTGACTGTACCCAGTGCATGTATAAACCAAAACAAACAAACAAATAATAAATAAATAAATAAGACATGCCTCTAGAAAATTAAAAAAAAAAATAAAATAAAAAAATAAAATATTTATGCATACAAGAACTGGGGTGTAAGGCAGAGTTGCGGGGGATGAGAGGATTCACCAGAGACAGAGTAGGGAGCAGAACAGGCAGATCTACTGGAATACACTGCTGAGGGGAGCAGTGGGAGAGGCAGCAGAAGGCTGCTGTGCTATGTGGGTTGCTCCCTGGCTGGCTGGGGATCAAACTTGTGCTGCAGTGGCTAGTAATAGCTTGAGAGCGCTGTCTTTATTAACCCCTGAGCCACCAGGGAGGCCCTCCAAGTTTGGTTTTTTTTTTAAAGATTTATTTTCATTTATGCATACAAGAATAGGGGTATAGGTTTTCCCCTTTTGATAACAAAGAATGTAGTTGGTGACAGGAGGGTCCTTCATCAGCAAACATGTTCTTTTTATCCGAGAATTTCATCTCTACTCTCAGAGTAAGGACAAGGCAGCCCTCCTCCTCTGTTAGTGAAGTCTTCCCTACCTATCTCCTCAACACCCTTGTCCCTAAATGCAGGATAAATATCTCTGGTATGTTCCATTATTCTTTATTTACGAACACATAAATTCTCCGTATGTGTGTTGTTAAATTTTGACCTTTTCTCTTACCAGTATGTCTGATATTAATTTGTTCATCTGTTCACCCTTAGAACCCAGATGGGAAGAGAAAATTTTTCCTAAACCCAGACATGTGTGTCATAAAAAAAAAAATGCTACCTCATATTTAGACCTGCCTGCCTCTAGACAGAGCCCTTTATTTATCAGTGCATTCATGTTTCTTAACCATTAATATAAGGAAGATCTACTTCACTGGGACACATTCATAAAAAATGTCAGGACAGGTGAGAAAATAAAGGAACACATTAGAGAAAAAAAAAAAATATCACAAATTGAGAAGACCAAAAAGTTCACAAAGAGAAAAAAACAGAGAGAAGGGTGTTTTATGTTTTAGTAATAAGCATTGTGATAAATCCTGAGTATTGAATAATTTTTTCACCCTGACCCTCCAATCTCTGAATACAAAGTACTTTGTACTAATTTTTTTAAAAAAGTGTTTCTCTATTCCTGTTACTCTCTTCATCTGATTAAAAATATAAATTTCCTTCTCCTAGTTCACCTAGTAATTTTCTATTATATTTTTACTTATTATATTTTTACTTATGTTTCTCATAGAAACATTTCAAATAAAAATGTATTTCCTCAAGGAATTCTTGTGAAAGAATATTAAAATTCTTTTGATTGTTTTAATAATTATAAAGAGAAACATGTTAACATTTCAAAAACAAAATGATATAAACGAGTCAGTGATTGATTCTGTCCCACATTCTTCTTCCCCTTTCTATCACCACACCGCCTGCTTACAATACTCATTACTTAAGGTTGAGAATATATCCTTCCTGATCCAACCAAATACTTGTGTGGATGTGCATCCATGAGTGTTGAGTGTCACATAAAACTGAAAAAAATCATACTACACATATTTTATCCTACTTTACACTTTACTTTTTATCACTCAGTATACTTTGGATAACCTTAATATTTATTTAATTGTTCAAAGTCTCTCTCATTCTCTGCAATTAAATGCAATTTTTTTGATCTGGCTGGATTCTAACACTAAAACATCTTCTAAGGAAGGCAGCAACTCCCTAAACATGACATGCAGGATGTTTGCAGCCCTGGAAGGTCTCAACTTTTATTTGGCAGTGGATACTAACATCAGTAACAGATGACTTTTTTCCATCTTCAACATTCAATCACAGTAGACAGATACATCCATTTCACTCTAAAAAAATTATGTTGCTTGATTTAATGATTTCATACAAGGAATTAATTACTTGAATGTAATTATCTTGTAACTGTGTAGAAATGTCAGATTTACACTTAATATGCCACCTCTATTATAACTTATGTTTTAAAAAATTATGGGTTGGTTTTTAAGAAACTGATATTTCAAAAACAGTTACCAGAAACAATTAATTTTTCTCTTATATAACTGCATCTCCTTTAGGACTTGTGTCAGATTTTCTTGATTTACATTTAAATATATAATATACTGGATACAGGTCATAAGCAAATCTGTATATCAAGTCATTTAGGACTTATAACCAAGTATGTGTATTCTACAGAAAATAAAAAAAGTTTCTAAATTTTGCTACATGTGACTTGTACTGCAAGTTTCACAATTCATAAATGAAACTCAGAAACCAATGTGAGGTTAAAATGAATGATAATGTCAAATCTGGGGATGGACTAATTTTATTTATTCACTATACAATAATATGTGCCGAGAAATGCCAATATAGAAGATTGGTGATTCAGTAGCATACCTAATAGATTCACCTCTTAAGTTTAAACTAAATTAAAAAAAAAATTATTTATGGGAATGAAGAGGGCAATGAGTACAAAAATAGATGCAAAACCCCACAATACCATGAACTGACAAAAAGCTGGAGGAAAGGGCATGAAATTGGGGACTAGAAAGTGAGTGTGGGAGCACAGAAAACTGCTACAATGGCTGGATCCTACAGATTTCTAGATGTCTCTCTGTAATACCTCCTCTCTCCCACCCAGTTCATTATTTTAATTTGGAGAATCAACTATTGGTAATGAGTAAACTTTGAGGAACTCTACCTCTCAAAATCAGTTTTTTAAAATTGAAGTATGACTGACATATGACATTATAAACTCAGTGTTTGTATGAAACCCAGTACTTTAGTAAAGATGAGATATTCAACTCTGATACGCAGAAACCTTAGAGCATTTAAGTAAAAACAGAAATTTACCTTTCGAAGGATATCTTCAGCTAATGTGAGGAACGCCTTTTCAATGTTTATATTTGCTTTTGCACTAGTCTCAAAAAACCTAATACCATGCTCCCGTGCAATCTAAAATATCAAAAAATTAAAGAAAATGTTAATATTCTGAAGGCAGCATTCTCAGGTTATATAAAGCAAATACTATTTCAATGAGGTAAGTTTCAAATAAATGGTCAAGATCTTTCAGAAATAAGTAATAAAAGAATCCCTCTTTGTAGGTTAAAAATCTGTTTCCAAATTTGATTTTCCTACACCTACTGATATACACTAAAAAAATTCACTCAAACACTGTTGTTTCCAGTAGTGTTTAAAAAAACGATGTGAATAGTTAACTACACTCCTTTACCACTATTGTAAAAATTATTCAATACAAAAACAGCTTTATAAAGAAAGGGCAGCACATTAGTTTCACTGAAAGCTTTTTACCTGTTCTCCTTTTCCTTTAGGTACAACTCTTTTATCGTCCATATCACACTTGTTTCCTAGTAACATTCGTTCCACATCTTCATTGGCATGCTAAAATGGAATAAAATTTTAATTTTATACACTATCACTATCACTATATCACTATCAATTTTATACACAAAAAAATGACTATTTTTTCTCAATTTCATTTCTATAAAGTTTTGAAGCTGTCACCCTGAAATCACACCAAGCTAAAAGCCAACACAATTCCTAAATTACTGAGAAAAAGAAAAACAATTCCTAAGACTTATGTTGTCAAATATTATTTTCCCCCTTCAGGAGCCTGTCTAGTTTGTAGGCAAGTTCTCATCAAAAGAGATGATATAAGCAAAAGATGTGAAACAGGATGTATGTCCAGGTTGGATCATGATCAGATATTATGCTATAGACACCTTAATTTAAAATTCAAGAAAGTCCTTAAAGTATAAAAAAAAAAAAAAGCTACCTTTTGAAGACACAGGAAGATCTCTTACAGACAAATCAGTTAAAACAAATGTTTGCTCCATCAAAATTCCAATTACTATTAAACAAATAGAACAATCCATCCCTAAAATTCATATGGAATCTCAAGGGACTCAGAAAAGACAAACTATCTGATTTCAAACCCAATACAAAGCCACAGTAATCAAAACAGCATGTTAGTGACATAAAGACAGACAAATAGAACAGAGAGCCCAGAAATAAATCCTTACATACAGAGTCAATTTCACCTTTTCAACAAATGGTGTTGTGAAAACCAGCACAAGGTATCAACATGCAAAAGAATGAAGCTGGGCTCTTACCTTATATAGTATTAAAACATGAACTCAAAAATACATAAAAGACACAAATTAAACCTAAAACTATAAAACTCTTAGAAGAAAACATATGGCAAAAGCTTTCTGACACTGAATTTGAAAATGGTTCAAATTTTTATTTTGATGCACAATTCAATTTAAATGAACTTTTTTTAAAGCTTCATTTTTATGTATTTACGCATACAAGAACTGGGGTGTAGGCAAGAGGTGCAAGGGAGTGGTGCTAAGAGGATTCACCAGAGACAGAGTGGGGAGCAGAATAGGAGGATCTTCTGAAATACACTGCTGAGGGGAGAAGCAGGAGAGACAGGAGAAGTCTGCTGCACCACGTGGGTTAGTCCCCCGGCCAGGGATCAAACTCATGCCACAGTGGCTGGCGACAGCTTGATAGTGCTGAGACTTTAATCTCTGTGCCACCAGGGAGGCCCCATTAATGAACTTTTAAATCAATTGAATTTTATGGAAAATGAAACAGTAAATAAATTAGACCCATATTAAAATTAAGTCAAGTGTCCAAACTTAAGGATATTAAATCACAAATAAAATTCATTTTCCAAGTCTTTTTACGAGGTTGAAAATGGTGTCTTGATCAACAGTATATAAGCATCAAAATAAACAAATTATACTTAAACAAAACTTAAGATATTTATGCCAAAGGAACTATTGTGTTCACTTTGGCAGCACATACACTAAAATTCAAACAGTTACAGGAGATTGTCATGACCCTGTGCAAGGATGAAATGTAAATTTGTGAAGAGTTCTATATTTTGAGATTATGTTAAAGCAAAATAATGCACACAGAGAAAGGCAAACACCAGATGATTTCGCTTTAACAGCGAAACAAACCTAAGAACTCTGACTGCAGAACTGAGGCTACAAGAAGGGGAGTTTGGGAGCTGGTAGTAAAGGGAAACAGGTGCCCAATGGGACTATGGCTGAAGATTATGGGTGCTTTGATGGTAGGTGTGGTGTAGCAACATACACCTGAAGAGATGCGAATCTGTAACTACACGTCATATACAGTGTTGTAAACCAATGTTGTTACTTCAATAAAAAATAATACAATTAAAAAAAAGACATTTAAAAAAGTCACTAGCAAAAGAATGAAAAGGCAACCATGGAATGGGAAAATAGTCACGTATCACGTAGCACTGGTCTAGCTCACCTATCCCTGAATATCCCGAAGTCAGGATATGATTTGTCTTAAATTTAAAATTCATCACAGTCCGTCCACCAGCCCATCCTTAGCAAGATTACTTCTACTCATCTCTTCAGTTCTCAGCTTAAACTGTGATTTCCCCCCTCTCTCAGATTATGTATTTTTTTTTTTTTACGTTTTCATACTAATAGAGGGCCGGTACTTTCTAACCCTTAAGAAAAGATAGGGGATGATTTACTTGGTTCTTGCTGTATGCCCATCTTCCAAGAAAGTGTCTACCTTAAAGCAGGAGCTTCCTGTATACTGGAGGACTGATATAAGACAGTCATGACTCAAGCCTTATAGAGCAATAGTTTCCGGCAGCAGTGCAAGATTGTTTGGTTCTATGTTTTCAAGTGGTATTTTCTTCCATTATCATTTTATAATTCACATAGTCTGAACAGTATGGAGGGAACTGCTTTCCCTATGCCTTCCTCATACTCATATACACATGCTGGGCAGGCATGTAGACTACAGAAAACAGTACTAAGAAATCTTCCAGTTCATGAACACAGGATGTCTTTCCAGTTACTTAGATCTTCTTGAATTTATTTCAAAAATATTTTAATGGTTTTCAGTGCATAAGGCTTGTACTTCTTTGGTAAATTTTTCTTTTCTTTTTCTCTTTTGGATGCGATTGCAGACAGAATTATATCCTTCATTTCATCTTTGCATTGTTCACTGTTAAAGTATAGAAATACAACTGATTTCTATATTTGAACTTATTTGTAAGTGCAAATCATTTTATTTTTTGGTATTTATGTGTATGGATTCCTTAGGATTTTCTAGAGAGATAGTTTTACTTTCCAGTCTGAGTGTCCCCCTACTTTGCCTAATTGCCCTAGCCAGAATATCTAATCTAGTACAATGTTGAACAGTGGTGGTCAGAGTAGGCATTCTTATCAGCTATGGAATTTTCATAGCTGTCCTTTGTTAGGCTGAGGGAATTCTACTCCCAGTTTGTTGAGTGTTTTTTTATCATTGAAGATGTGGGATTTTGTCAAATATTTTAACTGTCTGTTGAGATATTTGTGTGTTTTTTGTCTTTTATTAATACAACGTACTACATTGATTTCCTACACTGAAACACCCTTTGCATTTCTAGGTAATTTCCTCTTGATCACGACATATAATCCTTTTAAAAGTGTTTTTTGGATCAAATCAGGTTCTTTTCATTTAAATAAAGTTTAAATTTCTACAACAGAGTGAAAAGTAGGCCAAGCCAATCTCTCACATGTTAGAAAACCAGGTATTCTTTACCAGACAAAACCAACACACAGTTATTTGGGTTTTGCCCCATGGCTGGCACAGACTTTTTTTCCCTGAGTAATAGGAATATCCTGTTATTCACAAGAGACCTCTTTCTACCTATATCAGTTTATGCTAATGAGTGACTCAACACAGGGTCAACACAGAGCTCTTCACATTGGGACTAGTCATCAGAAAAAACACGTAATTTGGGGGTGGGAATTTTCAGGCCATAAAGGGAAGGGGCTGGAGATTAAGCCCAATCATTAGAAATTAACTGCCTATGCCTATGTAACAAAACCTTGGTGAAAACTCTGAAGCAATGAAGCTAGGGGAGCTTCCAAAATGGAGAACACAAGGTTCTGGGAGGATGGCATATCTAGAGATGGTACAAGAACTGTCCCTGATCCCCACCAGTCCCCTATTCATCCCATATCCTGCCTATTCATCTTCCCTTCTTAGCGAAGTCAAGCAGAAATACAGGTAGCATGGGAACCCATGACTGGAATCTGGTAGCAAGAACCGGTCTTCAAACCTGTGAGTCTGATTCTAAGGCCAGAGGGGGTTAGTATCAGAACTGGAATGAATTGTAGGATACACAGTCAATGTCACTGAACTAGAGAATTGGTTGTTGTTGGAACAACAATGCTTGGTGCCATGGTGTCTGTATCCATTCCTCTTACTACACACAAAGCTAAAGTATAAAACAAAGGATAAAGAAATCCAAAATGGAGTTTTTGATTCAAAATCTGTGTATTTTTAATTGATTGTTAAATATTAACAGGTTTCTCCTTGAAGATTTATTGTAGCAATGGAGAAGTTAGCAGTGAGTCTTTAGAACTGCTACTACTAAAGGTAGTTTCTTGGGTCTAATATTGGCTTAAGACTTGATCTTTACATAGCCAGCCAAAACTTGCTTTAAAGAGTTAGTGTTAATTAAATTCAAAGTCTTGGAGGCAGTAATATGAGAAAGTACTCAATAATAAAGACAATGTACTATATCCTAAATATCAGATGGAATATTCTTACCAACCAAGCACACAACCATGTTTGGGAAGGATTTTCAGGTCTTACCTCATCTATGTTTCTCAGCCATTTGCTGATGTTTTCAAAACTTTTACCATTGGTGATGTCATATACTAGCATGATACCCATTGCTCCTCTGTAGTAGGACGTTGTGATGGTATGAAACCGCTCCTGACCAGCTGTATCCCTGAAATAAACAACAAATAATTTGTAGTAAGCATTTTGACATCACTATATTCTAGATAAAGGGCAAAACAATAGAATAATTTCATAACAGATACAGAAATTAAAATCTACTATATGCCACAAAGCAAAACAGAACTAGCACTCATTTAATTTTTAAATTGTAAATAATTATGGTTATTCATAAACATTTATTTTATTTTTCTTTTTAAGATTTATTTATGTATACAAGACCTGGAGTACAGGCTAAAGGTGCAGAGGTGAGAGGATTCCCAGAGACGGGGGATGGGGGGGGGCGGGGCAGAACAGATGGATCTACTGAAATACACCGCTGAGGGGAGCAGCCGGGTAGACAGGAGAGGTCTGCTGCGCCATGTGGGTCACCTCCCTGGCTGGGGATCAAACTCATACTGCAGTGGCTGTCGACAGCTTCATGGTACTGCAATCTAACCCCTGGTGCCACCAGGGAGGCTCATAAACATTTATTTATTTATTTTTTAAAGACTTATTTCTACAAGAACCAGGGTATAGGCCAGATGAGCGGAGGGTGAGAGGATTCACCAGAGACAGAGCAGGGAACAGAACAGGCAGATGGATGAAATACACTGCTGAGGGGAGCAGCGGGTGAGACAGGAGAGGTCTGTCGTGCCAAGTGGGACCCTCGCCGGCTGGCCGGGATTGAACTGGTGTTGCAGAGGCTTCTGACAGCCTCACAGCGCTGTGCTCAACTGCCTGCGCCATCAGGGGAGGCCCATAAACGTTTTTCTTAAAATCTTTTTGTAAAAAAAAAAAAAAGATGAAAACCTGGAAGGGAAAACAGTAGAAAGTAACACATAAAACTCCTGAATTTATTTAAAAATGAACACCAGCAAGTGTGATAAAAACTCTCGGAATTATATTTTATTTGGTGATCTAGTTCCATAATATAATACAAAAGCATGGAAATTTTCAGAACATTAAAGTATTACACCATAGTATGGCCACATTTGCCTATAAATTGTGAAAAATTCACTTGTAGGTAACAAAACAAATATGTACATGGTAGATTTTTTTAATTATTACTTTAAAAGCCTTCAAAGTCAAAGATTTAAGAAAAATATTTTGCTCTTATTATCCAGTCTCATTTGCCTCACCAATTTCTTCTTTTTATGGATTATTCTCATCAGCACACATAAATATTTTAATATCCCCCAGCTTTTCTACAAAAGGAAAACTAAAACAGAAACCCTAACAACGCTGTTGAAACTAACATTGCATTTCTCTGTTCCTCTTCCCAGCAAACTTCCCCACTTTCATTTTAAAATAATTATAGCTTCACTGGGAAATTACAAAAAAAAAATGTAAGGAGTTATCCTCTGTACCCTTCACCCAGTTTTCCCCAAAGATAGCATTTTACAGTATAGTATAAAAGTAAAATCAGGAAATTGACACTGGTACAATGTACAAGCCTTATTTAGAGTTCATTTTTTTAAACAGGGGTTCATTTGTTGTGTGTATGTGTAGTTTTCTGTGATTTTGTCACATATCTATGTAAATACACGTGTGACATATACATATACAAATAAATAAATAAATATGAAATCACCACAAACAAGACTGTTACATCATTTTTCCATCCCTACATTCCCTAAACCCTGGTTAATAATCTGATTCCCATTTCTATAATTTTGTCATTTCTAAAATGTCCTATAAATGGAATAATGCGATCAGCAATGTTTTAACATTTTTTTTAAAAAGATTTATTTATGTACACAAGAGCTGGGGTACAGGCCAGACGCAGGGGTGCGTGTGTGTGTGTGTGTGTGTGAGAGAGAGAGAGAGAGAGAGAGAGAGAGAGTCCACCAGAGAGAGAGAGAGAGAGAGAGAGAGAGAGAGAGAGAGAGAGAGAGAGAGAGAGAGAGAGAGAGAGAAAATCCACCAGAGCCAGAGCAGGGAGCAGAGCAGGCAGAAGGATTGAAGTACACTGCTGAGGGGAGCAGCGGGCAGCAGGAGAGGTCTGTGCACCATGTGGGACCCTTCTCCGGTGGCCAGGGAGCAGCCGGGGGTCGAACCGGCGCTGCAGAGGCTGCGGACAGCTTCGCAACCCAGCACTCAACCGCTGCGCCACCGGGGAGG